GTGAGTACAGATCACGTCCCAAGTGCCCAACGCAGCCTAACGGCATGCGTTGGTGTCAGCCAAACCTTTGTTGCAGAATGCGAGAATCTAAACGAAATACCCACCGTTTGTGGGGCATATGATGTGCGATTCCTTCAAGCCTAAGATAACCGGCAAAAAAAAAAAGTTGTTTTCGGGAGATCTATAGCGTTGTTTAGTCATTACGCAGCGATCATCCGACGATAACAGGCGATGTTCACTGCTGAAGTAATAATATCATCCTGGGATCTCACGCTCCAAAACCACGATAGTGACTATGACTGACGCCGTAAAGTGAAGGCTCCGAAAATTTTGTCCCTGTGGGGTGTTTTCTAACGTGCATTCACAACGAAATGTACACTGGCCTCTAGCATTTCGTCTCCATCGAAGTGGTACCACCGCAGCCTGGACCAAACCAGGGACTTTCGGGTCAGCAGCCGATTGCTGCAACCGCTTACAACCACCGACGGACTCGCTGTCTGAGGTAAGTCTAGGCACGTAACTTAGAAGTGTGGCAGTTTGGGCTAGTTGGTATGACATGACGATAGTTACAGTGCCAGAACAGAACGACTGACAAAGGGACAGAGAAGGAACTAAGGTTCCGTCGAAGGTATCGGTGCGCGCAAGTAGTTACTATTACTTTTACTTTTCTGTTTCGTTTGCCTCGCAGACTTGTCTGTGCCTTTTTCTGTGCTTTTGTTATTTTCATTACTCGTGCATTGCTCTTTCTGCCACAGTGGCTTTTGTCACATGGTTTACTGTCTCTTCTATATGTTTTCGCGTTCTGCGCAACACACTCAGTTGGAATAGCGCTCGTGTTCTTCTTGTTTTTTTGTCGTTCTGTTCTCGCGCTATAACTATCGTCAAGTTTAGGCGATAACGTTGCACTAATGCCCGTACAGGTGCAAGTTTGACCATTTACTTGAGCATATGTGCACTTTAATTGAATAGCGACAACTTGTAGATTTTCTGTTTCGTGCCTACGGCATCTGCCTTCGCTTGTTTATTTATAAAAAAAAAGGGTTGCTTCTGTAGCCTACGTGGCTCTATTGTAGTCTAGCCTTCCTTTGTGTCAGCTAATTGAACAACACCACCACCGTCAACAACAAAAAAACGTAGACCTCTTATCACTGTTCTTAAAGGAGGTACCTTCCTGCCTCTCGCGCCATCTCTCACCTATAGCTACAGAACTCCGCGGAGTACAGGGTAATCTGTCGCCGTCTCCTCTGCTGCGCGCAACTGTTCACGCCAGACGCGTCGCTTGGTGCAACGGAGCGCCGCCGTTCTTCCAACGTCGTCCGAACCGGCGACCGTTTTATCGACGCCCGGTGGCGGCCCCTGGGAGGTAATCTATCGCACACCGCTGGAGCACCCGCGGCACCAGTCGTCCATCCCCATTTATACTGCGCGCGACAGTTTACCGCCGCCTAATGTGAGCACAATCTTTCGCAAAGCACTAATGGCGGCGATACAGCTACGGTTCCATTATATATACCCGCATCTGTTAAACGAACACTTATATATATATATACCTGCCTTTCCTTGCATCTTTCTCTCTCTCTCTCTTTTATATATATATATATATATATATATATATATATATATATATATATATATATATATATATATATATATATATATATATATATATATATATATATATATATATATAAAAGATAGATTTTTGCTCGTGCTTGCCTCGCGACACCCCCTGAATAGCCTGGTCACAGTTACCGGTTTTATTCGCTTCCAGATTTTAGCCCGGTGACAGCGCTAATTTTGTAGGTAATGCGACGCGGTATAGGGCCTCGCTCGGAGAGGCAATTAGTTGGAATACGGTGGGGTCCTTTGTGAAACTTTGCGTGTCACGGCCATTCGTGGTTCGAGAGAATGTCCGGCATCGAGCGCCACGATATATACTTTCTTTGTGCGCGAGGGCCCCCCTCTCAAGTTTCGAAGTATCCTTTCGCCTTCGAATTAATGACGAAAGCTTGACTGTCGGCAAGTGGTCGATGTACTGAGAGCCAAGCTGACTTTGTTAGATGAGAGAAATATGAGACGAAGCTTTAGATAGTGCTGTATTAGCTGAGATTCATTCTTGATGCGTCGAGCAATCCATGAAATCTCGTCATTGACCAGTTTTGGGCAGTGCTCGTTGAATTTTTCAATCCCCTTGACGCGTGCAAAGTGGCATTGCTGTTTTTGCTTGAATGCGGCACTCTAGCGTTGCGTTGAAACATCAAAACATAAGTGTCACTATAGTATTAGGTTGAACAGCCCACTTTAGTTGGTATCTACAACAATGTTACTGCCTTGCGTTGAAACGTAATCCTTATATTAACTCTTTCGCAGTGAAATGCATATAAAAATATTGAGTATAGTGAATTTTATGACTGATTATGACCGGCAATTTGACGTTCAACTTTGATCGGTTTTATCCGGCACGTGGGATAGAACTGTGTCGCCATTTTTATGTGGCGTACCTGGATGGAACTAGTGCTGCCGTATAAGCGAACAGCAGAGTAGTCAACTGTCTAGTGCACAGATAGAATAGATAGTCAAAAATACAATGTAGTCTAGCATTGCAAAGGGGAAAAAGAGGCCTACCGATATAAGAATGACCTAAATGTAAATAACCTGGGCGTTTGTAAAGCCAGCTGCAGTGGGCGAGAGCGGTAAAATGTTGAACATCACGTGAACTCGCTTGATTGATATGTGGGGATTAACGTCCCAAATCCACCATATGATTATGAGAGACGCCGTAGTGGAGGGCTCAGGAAATGTTGACCACCTGGTGTTCTTTAAGGTGATCCTAAATCTGAGCACATGGGCCTACAACATTTCCGCCTCCATCGGAAATGCAGCCACCGCAGCCGGGATTCGATCCCACGACCTGCGGGCCAGCAGCCGAGTACCTTAGCCACTAGAACACCACGGCAGGGCGTCACGTGAACTCGCAACGAATGATGGAAAAACTTGACTTTCCATCCGCGGAAAAAGAGTAGAACTGGTCGACATTTACACAGACGCGCGGCAAATAAGATCGCGAGGGGGATTTGCCTTTCGAGAATGTACGCGAAAAAAAATAAAAATAAATAAATAAAAGCGTTGGACTGGAGGTGGCGCCAGAGTAGCACAGGTAGGAAAGAATGATTGGTTCAATTGGAAGGATATCGTGACGTTCATGACATTGGGAATAAACGATGCCTCCCACCTACCAGTGTGTCCTTCTGTTTTGTTTCAAACCAACTCTTTCATAGGAGGTAGTAAGCTTTTTCTAATGGGGTAGTTTGTTCTGAACTGCGCGTCCCTTTTGTGCCGTGTCCAATTCTCGGTAACACCCAATGCATACTGAGTGTGACGCCAGCGCTGACGCGATCAGGAGTTCCACTTTCGTTCCCTGACATTTCCCGATAAGGAAACTGGAAAGAACGAAACTATAGAAACACAGTTGCGAGCAACTAAGCTAGCGTGCACAAAAAGAAGGGCGTCTCTTGCGAATGCGAAATGTTTTTGCGCACCACTCGTACTACTTTCTTGTATTCCATTCGCACCGATGCACCCTGATTAGATGGAACGAGAGCAGGGGAGTCGGAATTCAAGTCACGATCTCGTTTCCCGCCAAAAATAAAAGGCGACAAGAAGTAAGAGAGCGTAGGCATGTGCAAGGAGGTTTTGGAAACGGTAGACTCGGAGTGAATGTTTCTGAAAGCAGGGACGAAGTGAATGAATTCTTGGGGCGAAGGACGCACGACTGCCAGATAGGCGTAGAAAAAAAAACGATTGAGTAGACTAGTGTGCTGGTTTCTCCTGTTCTCGCCTTGGAAGTGTGATCCTCTGCCTGTGGTGAGCTACCTGTGGTCTTGCACCTAGTATGGCGGCAAAGCTTCCCCCCTAACATATGGTAGAAATTGACCGGCTCGAATCAGGCCAAGAAGAAGGACAAAAGTTTGACTAGTTGGTATGGATGAAGAGTCCAAAAAGTTTGGCGTGTAGACATGTGCGCAATACACGGAAAAACAAAATACCACCTAGAAGAGGGATTGTGGGAAAGCGAAGGCATTGAAGTTGACGAGGATCAGCTCGGTTTGCTACCCTCCACGGTGGAAAGAGAAAGGGAACAGAAAGATTAGAAGAAATAAGGAACAATTTTGAGCCACTGAAGAAAAGCTATCAGATATCAGAACAGGCTGTTTCTATGGATTGAACTGCAATTGTTCAAGTTACTGGTTTAGAAGAACTTGTTTTTCATGGCCCGGGACAGGCTATGAAAGCCTTTGTCGTATATCAACTAGACATTGTCTTCTTTGCTACACGATACAGCAATACGGCTTGATCTTCAAGACGTGCAGGGGTGTAGAGAAATTTCCAGGATGCTAGCGCACCCGCAGGTCACGGGTTCAAATCCCGGCTGCGGCGGCTGCATTTCCGATGGAGGCGGAAATGTTGTAGGCCCATGTGCTCAGACTTAGGTGCACGTTAAAGAACCTCAGGTGGTCAAAATTTCCGGAGCCCTCCACTACGGCGTCTCTCATAATCATATGGTGGTTTTGGGACGTTAAACCCCACAAATCAATCAATCAATCAATCAATCAATCAATCAATCAATCAATCAATCAATCAATCAATCAATCAATCAACCAGGCTGCTAGCGCATGTAATGCTACGGCAGCAGTTCCACGGAACTTTGGAATACCCCTGAACATGCCAAGACGAGTCAGCCAATTCACGCGGGGCATGCACCGGTTGAGGAATCGCGTCGGGGTTAGAGCGAAAATCTGAGGTAACTGCTGACGTTTGTTCTCTTCAACTTCCCAGCAAAATATCCAGAAACAGGTGTCTTCTCGTTTCAGACGAAAACCTGGGATGGTACATGTGCAAACGCTGTCGGATTGTACTACCTTGATGCACTAGCAACGACGGCACCATGCTGTCTCATTCCCGGTAAGGTGGCTATTTGACAAAGTGAAGAGCATTCTCACCAGGCCGGAGACGGTAATGTTCTCGCTTGTGCTGAGGGGCAACAGGTCGGTGCCGATGTAGCCCTCCACGGCTTCGACGATCTGCGCCGGCTCGCATGACACGTCCGGCTGCGGCGTCTCCCACCAGCGATCGGCGTACATGGCTCCGATGAGCCACTGGTACTTGCGGCCGTACATTCCCATCTTGTAGGCCTGCGTCGTCGTCCCCGCCCCACTCTGCTGTTACACGCCTGATCGACCACGTACAGTGACGTTGACATCACACTGACGCCAAGGGCGGATTGTTTCAGCTAGGAAGTAAAATAAGAGTAGAGAGGCGACTGTAAAAATGAATGCCTATAGGGCCTCGAAGGTAAATGGTATACGTAAACAGCTGAAATAATTACGACATCAAGGATAAAAAGGGCATGAACGGTCAGCTTGGCAGCCACTGGATATCGGTCGGTTAGTTTGTTTGTTGGGTAGTTGATAAGCACGTTGGTTAAAGGGCTGGTTAATTCTATGTGGCCTGATACAATGAAGACGATAGCGGTCTTCGATTATGACATTAACAATGTAATGATGCTTGAAAAACCGGTAGGCCGGCAGACAACCATAGTCGATGTTGAACTTCGTTTGCTTCTACCAAGAACAGTGTTGTGAGTGAGTGAGTGAAACAACTTTATTGACGATCCGGCATAAAGGGGGAAGGGGTAGGGGGATGAAAGCGAGACAGTAGCGTGCTCGGACGTCCCGGAGCAGCAATTGTGAAAATTCTTGTCGCTGTTAAGCTGCTTGTTCCTTCACAACAGCATTGATAGGGTGATTTATAAAATACTATATAGTAATTAATAATAGTTGTTTGAAGAATGTACACTCGTTGTTTAGAATCACACTTGGATAATCTTTTTCTCTCACCTGGCAGAAGACCTTTCGGGCCCAGAACTCGTCAAAGTTGCCCAAAATAATGCGAACGTCTTTTTCCTGCGAAAGATAAAAAAAAAGGAGCCATATTATGCTATAATATAGCGCAAATAGTTTCTTCGGGTAAGACACCCACTGGTTGAAAGTTATTGCGCGTTAGTATAACAGTGCCAAGGGTCAGATAACACCATCGTTGGGATTTGAAAACTTTGTCAGACGTGCAGAGTTCTCAAATTTTAGTGCAGCCAGCCCATGGGATTAACTTTACCGTGTGTTTGAGGAGAATATGTGTTTAGAAAGCCTCTGATAAATGTATTTAAGAGGTGCCAAGGAACATTTCTTTACTGTTTCAATAAAATAAACATAGAAATAGATGCGATAAGCAATAAAATACCAAACTGCTTTGGAAGTACGTGACGACGCAGTACCGGTGCGCCGACTGCTTCAAGCGAGCACTGAAGTAGCTTGTGAACCGTCCGCAAAATCTTAGGTAAACATTAAGCAGGCGAACAAGCGAAAAAAAGTTTGCTTGCACAACTTTTCTGGGTACGTGGATAACTGTCCTTGGTATTTTTTGACACTTATCAAATAAACAAATATAAGAAAGCATGAAATGGCTAGGGAAGATGTTTGCAGCAAAAAAAAATTATTACAAAACATGCGTTATCCAATTGCTTGTAAGGACGCTGCTTGGGATATTAAACTTTATTTACGCCGCGCACTGTCATTCTTGTCGTTTATCGAAGCGAGGGATACTTCGAAAAGTTTGAAAATTGCGAGTGTTCATAATAACAGTTCAATAAATAAGGTCCGTTGATTGATCTTCTATTTATGGAAACGTAGGCCTGAAAGAAAGCGAAACACGAATGACGTGGAAGATCAATCATTATTTTGACCAGGATTTTGCGAAGCCTTCTGTATTTTTTTTTCTGGCTAACGTTCCTCTCGCGTTCTTGCGTCCACTTGAATGTGCGTTTGCTTCTCTTACACCTGCTGTGTCTTCGAGTTGAAAGGTTCCTAGAATCGATCGCCGTGACCTTTCGTATCTCTGTCGCGTGTTGCTGCGTTTGCGCAGACTGGCGCGTCAAAGTAGTCGAGACGCACGAGACCACGTGTCAGGGAAAAAAGCATGCTCATGCAAGCGCGAACGGAAGGGCACAGCTCGGCTAACCCTTTCCTTCCAAATTTCTCCGGTGCCCTTTAGAATAAACAGTTTCTTCGCGAAGTTTTGAAATCCCACGCGTGCCACAGACATCGCTTCCAACCCACCCCATTACGAAACGTTCAGGAAAACGTGGTTTCCAAAAATTTCTACAGCCTGTTATAAAGTCTGTTCAGCGACGTCTGAGCATGCACGAGCAGCATTCGACGAACTGTTCAACAAACCTATGCGTATCTTGCTGTTTCTATCCACGCAATGATCTGATAGCATCGCTTCGTCATCCGGGTTGCACCGTCTTCGTCTGCGTGCAGCGGAATGCCGCTATAGTTTTGTTCTGTTTTCACGCGCTTTACGAAAATGTGTGCTAGTGTTAAGTGTATACTGTTGCTGCTCTCACAGACGGGCCTTTCACCGCTGCTCACTGATTCTACAAGCCGCCTCTGGGGCTGTGCCACAAATCAAGACTCTTAGACATCATTAGATGCGCCAAGGAGCAGTCGTGCGAGCTAGTTTCCACGTAGGCGTGCTTCAAGGTGCCGTGTTACTACGTACATTTCAATTACAGCAGCCCGGTATAGCCTACGCAGAAAAAGCATCGTTCAGCTTCAGTAGGAATGATATCCGATGTTTTACGTCCCAAAACAACGAAATGATTATGAAGTATGTCGTAGTTAATGGCTCGTTTAGTTTCGGTTATCTGGTGCTCTGCACTGACGGAACATAGTACAAGGACCCTTTAGCCTTTCAGCTCCATCTAAATGTGGCCACCGCGACTGGTATCGAACCCATCACCTTTGTTTGAGGCGCTGAGCATCGTAACTACTGCAACACAAGCGGACTGCCGCTGGACTTCTTTCCAGTAGTACTCTGAGAGGTAAATCTAAAAGCAGAAGATACAGGTTGTATACATGAGGGACATAGTGAGAACCATAATTCGTGGAAAAGTTCCTAACGAAATGTAAATGAATAATAAAAGGTAGATACTCCACGAAAGGCTGAAGAATATGTAGGAGATGAGTTCCCGGCATGTAGTGCGAAAATAGCGCGTTCTGTTCGGCGTATACATCCTACAGGAAGTCATGTAATGAAACGCAAAAAAAACAAAAAAAAAAACAGGTGGCTTCTTTCTGACCCACCTTGAGCTTTTCAAGTTCGTGCTCGATGTCGTCACCCTCGCCGATGCCTTGCACCTCGTCGATCTGGATGTTCGCCGAGTCAAGCACTGTCAGCAGACGGCTGTGCGGCTGCGAGGCATAAAAAAAGAAAGAAAAGGAAATGCACGTGTCAGAACACGATGCTCAGTTTTCATTCATGACAGTGATAAGAATCAATCATTCAATAAATCAATCAATCAACCAATAACTGCGCCAATAAATAAAGACATCAATCAATCAATAACTACACCAATAAAGTACTACACCAATAACCAATAACTATATCAATAAATAAATTAACCAATCAATAGATCAATTAATGACTACATCAATCAATCAATAAATCAATAACTACGTCAATAAATAATACTTCAACAAATTAAATTTTCTCAAGGGTGTTGCAGGTATTGATGAAAGTGTTGAACCGAAACTTTACTCGTCTAAATAGTTCACGTAATTACACATACAGTGCAAGAAAGTAACAAGTTTTGTAGTCACAACTGCGAGGAATTTATTACTACGGATGTTCCAAAGTACTAGCAAGGTCGTTGAAAGAAACAAGAAGTATATGTTTCCTGAGACCGTAATGAAGTTGTCTGGCGTTTAAAGTGCCAGAAACGCGATATGATTATCAGGCACACTCCGGTGAAGGGCTCTGGAAGTTTCGGTCATCTTGTGTTCTTCAGCGTGCACTATACACGGGCCTCATAAATCGCGCCATCATCGAAATGAGTACAGTCGTGACCGGGATCCAAACTGCGACTTTCGAGTGAGCAGCAATAATAATGGTATGTGGGGTTTAACCGTCCCAAAACAACCATATGCTTTCGAGAGACGCTGTCGTGGAGGGTTACGGAAAATTCGACCTCCTGCGGTTCTTTGACGTGCACCCAAATCTGAGCACACGGGCCTACAGCATTTTCACATGCACTGAAAACGCAGAAGCTGCAGTCGGGAATCCATCCCGCGACCTTCGGTTTAGCAGGCGAGCGCCATGACTACTATAGACCACCACGGTGGGGCTTTCAAGTGAGCAGTGGAGCTCCGTAGCTTCTGTCACCGCCGCGGCGCATAATTGCGCATTGCAGGCGTGATGGATTCAAAATACAGCGAGAGAGATGCGCCAAAAAGAATGCCAGCAGGCCTGTACCGTACGTAGTACTAATACTTTCACCGTTCTAGTCTAATCTATTGACTAAGGTACTCGGCTGCTGACCCGCAGGGCGCGGGTTCGAATCCCGGCTGCGGCGGCTGCATTTACAATGGAGGCGGAAATGTTGTAGGCCCGTGTGCTCAGATTGGGTGCACGTTAAAGAACCCCAGGTGGTCTAAATTTCCGGAGCCCTCCACTACGGCGTCTCTCATAATCATAGAGTGGTTTTGAGGACGTTAAACCCCACATATCAATCAGTCAATCAGTCTAATCTATTAAGTACGGCTGGTGCACCCATAGAGTTTCTCAAAATTAACTAGAGGGCACTCTGGCGCTGCGATCAGTTCAGCGACCATGGGAATGATGGGTAGTACACACATTTGCCTATATAGGCTTCGTACTTGCTGGCGGCGAATTCGTACTTGCGACTTCGTTTATTGCTGTGTTTCGGTATTGTTGTGAAAGAAAAATTCATCCCTTTTGAACTTCGTGACCAAATTTGGAAAGGTAATTCGAAAAAAATAGGGTAGGTGAAGCGCAATCGCTGAACATTCGCTGATTTTTGTTATGTGAGAAAACAGCTTCAAGCCACACGAACACACACGGAGCCAAAGGCAGGCTAGAAGTCCGGAGTTTAGACAAATGTGTGTACTACCCATCATTCCCATGCTCGCTGAAGCGCCGTGCATTGCAGCTCCCATAGACACTAGCGCCAGAGTTCCCTCTAGTGTATATTGGGAAACTCTATGGGTGCACCTTACTTATACCGTGTGCGAACGAAATCGCTCGTTTGGTTGGCAATGTATTCCACGCAAGGAAATGATGCGGAATGTTCCTGTCTGAAACGACGCGAAAGCGGATCTGCCGCACGTGTCACGAACAGTAAGCAGATTGAGATGAATAAACAAGTGGCCGGAACAGGCGTTTTCTTCAGGAAACAATCTCCCTGAAAGCAGTGGTACGAGCGTATATCTCCCAATCAATTAATGGAATTCGACTTCCCCTGTTCTTGCGAGCAGGTCTGCCTTTCTCCGATACAATAAGCGTGAGCTTCAGTTCCAGCAACGTCGGGGTGACAGACTTCGAAGCGTCTTTAACCCGTACCACGCTGGTTTTTCTCTTTTCATGTCCATTCAAGGGTGGCTGCTACCGATACAGGGCGTCTCGTTCCGAGGGACAGCATGATTTATTCAATGAATCAACGTGATGAGGCCCAGAACGCGCACCCGGAAAGAGATCAAAAGGACCCCCGGGCACGAATTCGAAGCTCTCGATTACGTCCCGAATGAGTCGTCGTAGAAAATAGCCCATATTTGAAGGACGCACGAAGCGCGGCGTTTGACAGCAGCTTCTTTATCGGGAAGGAAGGAAGCGAGCTCGATCTGAACCACGTCGGGTTTGCAATCGTACGCTGCAGAATTGGGAACGAGGAATACGAAGATCAGATAGGGAAGAGGGAAACAAAAGAAAAGAAATAAATGGGCAGAGAAATAAAGAAAAAAAGTGGTTGATCCCTCTCTTTAGAAACCGCCCCAACACGAAAGGGAAACGCGTCTTTACAGATGTAGTTAAGCTTTTTTTTTGTGCGTTGTTTTGCCACAAGGGCGAAAGAATGAGTGTTGCAGCGACAAATCGCAGTGTCACGCGATGAACGGCAAACAGCTCGACACTTGAAGCGTGCACTTCTAGCAGAAAGCACGTGCGAAATGAGCACGCAAAAACAACTCAACACTTAAAACACGCTGCTCAAATAAAGAAAAAAACGGACGAAACGAACGCACAAGTATATACTTGAACGAGTGCGACCAACTGGACAATACTTACTTCTTCGTGAGTGAGCAGCGCACTGCTTTCGCCGACGCGGCCACGGCAGCGAGTGAGGTGACCTTTGTGCTCTCTTTACCCACTGTAACTTCAAATCAATCATGCGGTAGAAGCACAAGAGGTACGAAGCGCCCGAATCCTAAGACAAGCGCACGCGCAAGTGAGCAATCCCGCCTGAGAACATCCATACGGACCGTGACTACGCCATGTGGAGGCGCGCACGCATCGCGATGCGTAGCGTGGTGGGGAGCTTCGACCTCGAGATCGCGCGCGACCCTCGCGCCATCTCGCTACTGATGGAGAAAATGCGCTTAAGTTGCGGAGCTCTGAGTGCCACCAACGGTACGAGGTGTATACAAATAGCTTGCTGATAACGAGCTAAGCGATGTGTGCAATGTGGTCTAGTGGCTTGTGTCTCGCGCTGAGGAGCGAGATGTCCGTTCCTTAGCGGTTCGACGCCCCGCTAAGGAACATTTTCATCTCGTTTGTTTCTTTGGAATTTGTTCTTATTCATTTTACAACGTCATATCCGTGACGGAGATACGTCAGCGGAACAGTGGTGGACCCCAACATAGAACACGTTTGTGCTAAAAAAAGGAAACATTAGTAAATGGGTAGTAATGATATGACCGATTGAAAGTCTTTGATAACAAAAACAACAATATAGGAAGGCTTTCTCACAGGCGCTGAGAAATCGGCCAATTTGAGCACTGGATAAAAACGTTGGGAGAAAAATTGGAACATGTGAGGATGACTCTATTGGTGTGTTTTCCTGGTATACGTAGGTTATGTGTATATAAAGGTCCAGCCAGCGCAAGGCTATAGCAGGAACCACAGGAATGATACTAACATCGCATGTCGCAATATCTGTGCTAGTAGCACCATTTTAAAAATGATCTATCTATCTATCTATCTATCTATCTATCTATCTATCTATCTATCTATCTATCTATCTATCTATCTATCTATCTATCTATCTATCTATCTATCTATCTATCTATCTATCTATCTATATATCTATCTATCTATCTATCTATCTATCTATCTATCTATCTATCTATCTATCTATCTATCTATCTATCTATCTATCTATCTATCTATCTATCTATCTATCTATCTATCTATCTATCTATCTATCTATCTATCTATCTATCTATCTATCTATCTATCTATCTATCTATCTATCTGTCTGTCTGTCTGTCTGTCTGTCTGTCTGTCTGTCTGTCTGTCTGTCTGTCTGTCTGTCTGTCTGTCTGTCTGTCTGTCTGTCTGTCTGTCTATCTATCTATCTATCTATCTATCTATCTATCTATCTATCTATCTATCTATCTATCTATCTATCTATCTATCTATCTATCTATCTATCTATCTATCTATCTATCTATCTATCTATCTATCTATCTATCTATCTATCTATCTATCTATCTATCTATTTATCTATATATTTATATATCTATCTATCTATTTATCTATATATTTATATATCTATCTATCTATTTATCTATATATTTATATATCTATCTATCTATTTATCTATATATTTATATATGTATTATCTATATATTTATATGTATTTATCTATATATTTATATACGTATTTATCTATTTATCTATATATTTATATATGTATTTATCTATTTATCTATATATTTATATATCTATTTATCTATTTATCTATATATTTATATATCTATTTATCTATCTATCTGTCTGTCTGTCTGTCCCTCTGTCTGTCCCTCTATCTGTCCATCTGTCAACATCTGTCTGTCCTTCTATCTGTCCATCTGTCAACATCTGTCTGTCCCTCTATCTGTCCATCTGTCAACATCTGTCTCTGTATCTTTTGCAACAAATCTACGATATGGATCGCATCCAGATGCGGAATTTTATTTTTCTTTAAAATCTTTGGTTTATATTCTTTGGCCTCTCTGTAGACAACAGTCTCTATCCCGTGATAAAAACTTGGTTACGTAGTCGGCGGTTTCTTTGTTTCCTTTCTGCCGCACCTGCGTAGCGTTATTCCGGCCAAACATGCTGCTTCGTGGAACGATGAATGAATTGAAATCAGCACTCTGTTGCTGAACCGCAAGGACCGAAAGTTTACGTGCTTCAA